GGCCACAGATCCTGAACTGATCCCAAATTGGCTGGGACTGTCCTAAGTTCGAATATTCTGACCTGTTTCCCATAAAACAACACACAGCAGAACTGCCAACACCTCAGGAGCCAACGTGCACCTGCTCGGGGCTTGTCAGGCCAGAAGTGCTGGTCCCCGGCCGTGGAGAGCATGCCTGCCTGTGTGCTGACCGCCTCCCTGAGTCCCTGGGCCCCGACAGGTTCAGGAACAGACAGCATGAGCTCTGATGCTAGCCCTCTGGGTCCGAACCCCAGGCCGCCACCTACATGTGGCCTTGGGAAGCCACTCCAAGCCTTTTTGTCCCCATGCCACCCTTCCTCACAAGACAGTAGTGAGGACATGTCTCAGCGCGTGCAGAGCCGGACACCACGCCTGGCCTGATACACGTTACAGCTCTGTGCACACTGTGTGCTCTGTCTCTCTCAATTGCCAGAGGGCACATATAGTTGTCAGAGAGACTCAGAGAAAGAGAGAAAAAGCACCCTTCCAATGGGGCATGGTCATGCTGCAACCCCTTCCCCTCCAGCTCTCCCTCCTTCCAGGATTTTGTGTACACATGCACATACACCTGGTGTATTGTTCATGCCCCTGGGACTGGGATTCAAACCGCAGTTAGTCACATAGACCCAGCTCCCTCAATCGCAAGGCCACGGGGCCAGCCCAGCTCTATTCCCTTTTTCTAGCTCTCCTGCCTTCTCCGCTCCATGCCAAGGGATGAACGGCTCCTTTTCCAGGTGCCTCAAATATCCCCTTTCCCTTCTGCCCATACGGGGGTCTAGCTCTGCTCCAGGGAACTAAGCACTCCTAGAGGGAGAGAGTCAGGGAGGTAACACTCCAGACAAGGGGGATGATGGGAGGGGCACACTGGCCCAGAAGTAAGGATACGGTGGTAGAGGGAGGCCAAAGTCAGAAGGGGAGGCATTCCCAACAGGATCTGTAGGAGCACCAGCTGCATTAATAGAAGCATAACGTGCAATGAAAGGGAGGTGAGAGGTTGGGATCCCCATTCTATCTGCTCTGCTCCCGCCACAGCAGCCAGGTCTGTCCAGCTGTCCTCAGGAGATAGAAGGGGCTGGAGACACTGGTAGGAGCTCAGGCTGACTGTGCCATCTCCACTACGCGTCTCAATGGGTCGCCCACACCGAGGCCCAGCTGGGAACCATAGGGCCATCGTGGGAGGCAGATTCTCAGCTGAACCTCAGCAGGGCCCCCTAGAAACAGGGCCATCCCAAAGGAGGAGCAGATGAGCTCCCCTCTCCCTGGGGTGTGCAAACAAAGGCTGGGCAGCCGGGCAGGCTGCAGAGGGGACTCCCGCTGCAGGCGGGGGACACCCGACAAGGCTCTCTAGCCCTTCAGCATCTTAGGGTCTGGGCAGTGCAGGGACATTTGGAGAACCCTGGAACTTTCTCCAAGGGTAGAAAGAGGATGGCAGGAGAGAGGATCACAGCTTTGATTCAGACCCAGGGCTTCCATTTTTGGCTCCCTAACTTCCACACTGAGTCCCATGGAAACCCCTAGAGCACTGCACTGACAGGGGTCCCTATTTTAGAGAATGAACCCTGGGACGGGCTTAGGGACAGAAGGCGGGACTGAGGCCATGGGCCCCACAGTGCAGGCCAGGGCTGATGAGCAAAGGGGCTGGGAGCCATGCCTGGGATGGCCAGAAACCCTGGCCATGTCCCCATTCCCCCACTGGCTCATGGCCCCCAGGTGGTGTAAGACAGCTGGCAGGTGACCCCCAGCTACTCACGGTCTCAGGGGCCCCGCTCCACGGCCTCTGGCTCTGTTTGATAGAGGATCAGGGTTATGGACGAAGAGCTCCAGTCCAGAGCCAGGACAGCAGAAGTGGTGGACAACTGATATGTATGTGCAGAAGGCAGTCTGGCTGGGAGAACACCCAGCATGTGGACAGAATGTGCGTGGAGTGTGGCATGGAGGGGTGTGACCTGGCAGGTGACAAGGCAAGCGCAGACTACAGCTTGGTGGTGTCACCGGGAAGTGTGTTCTTGCAGTGCCATGATAGGACACAGGTGAGACAGCATGTGCATCACATGATGGCATGCAGGTGCCAGGGCCTAAGAGGGCTATGGGACACACTGGAGTGGATGCGTCCTCAAGTTTACAGCCCTCCTCCACTGCTGTACCTTTCCTAGACCCCCATGGGCACAGTCCCGCCTGCAGACCAGGAGACGTGTTTGCGTGTATCTGAGCAGGTGGGACCCAGCAGGGCCGCTTACCCGGACCTCCTTGTAGAGCCGCAGGCAGCTGCTGTTGAGAATGAAGTAGCGGTCGTGGAAGCCACCCGAGGGCAGGCCCAGGCCCAACAGGCTGCGGTCCTCGCGGAACTTCATCATGCCATGCTTGGTGTCGCCCACACGGCTGGCTAGGGTAGGACTGGAGTGGCCTGGGCTGTGCCAACCCCTCCCTACAGACCCAGATGCCCCAGGGCCAGGTCCTAGGATGAAGGGAGCCGCGCCCTCCTGCCCAGTCTCCAGAAAGGCCCACCCACCTGCTCAGAGAAGCCCTGCCACTCACTGGGCCTTCTGCCCGAGCACTGGTCAGGCACCCCAGGTCCTGGCCTGGTTCAGGAAGGAGAGACCTGCTCAGCCCGTCCACCCTGCAGGCCCACCTACCCAGGTACAGCAGCATGGCCTCCATGGACTGGTGCTTCTTCACCACCAGGTGGCTGTCTGTGCCGAGCCCGTGCAGGATGGGCAGCACTTTCTCCGCAAAGTGCAGTGGGCGCTCTGGGAAGGGGCCACACACACCGCCACTGGGACCACATGGCCGCACCCCAAGGGCCAGCATGTAGGCACACAACCCACCCCACCACCTGCGAGTGCACCACACACTGTCTGACCACCCTCTGCACGACCGAGCTTCAGGTCCAATGCACCTGGCTGGGACCAAAGGGGCTCAAAGGTAACGATCCAAGCCAAGCCTGTGACGGTCCCAGGAAGCCCCCATCGGGGAACAACTGCTCCACCACCCGCTGGACAGCTCAGGCCAGAAAACCCTCTCCCTCAGCCTCCACAGTTTGGATGTCTCTGCTCTGTCCACCGCCGCTGTCACCACCCTGGCATATGTCACCTCGGACTAACACCATGCCCTTCTAGGTGGCCTCCTGCACGTGCTCCCTCCTCTCCTCACCCAGCAGCCAGAAGCAAGCTTTCCGGTCCCCCACCACTGGCCTTCCATTGGCCTTGCCCTGTCACCAGGCCCCCTATGGTCACCTCGACCTCCATCTCCAGCCCCACCCAGGCCACCCCCTGTTGGCCCCACATTTTTGAGAGGGCTGTGCCTCTGCCCACCGCAGGGCTTTGGCCCATGCTGTACCCACTGTCTGGAAGCACTTTCCGTGGTCTTCCCCAAGTAACCCCTATTGTTCCTTCACACCCTACCTCAGGGAATCCAAAGCCAAGCACCCTGTTATAAGCTCCGGTGACACTGCGGGGCTCTCCTTCATGGCGGTTAACATGGTTGTGGTAGTACTCTCATGGGTGTGGTTATCAGGCTAACACCCCCAACCCAGCCAAACTAAGCCCATCAGGACAGGGACTGTGTGTGCCTCCCAGCCCAGCACCTGGCACTCTATGAATACAGTGTGCCACACGAATGGGCACACCCTCCTCTTCCAGCCAGCAAGACCACCTTCACCTGGGTCCGCTGTGGGCCTTCACAGCACCATCATGATCACCCTAACCTACACCACTGTCACAGTCATCCCATGGACTGCTCCCGGCCCCGCCAAGAATGATATCACCCCAAATCCCATCATTGAATTCAGCATCCTCATCCCGGCGAGCATCATCTTCTGACACCTGAGAAGCCTTCACCATATCCGGGACTGTCTACCCCTTCACCATCCCTCCTATCAGCCATATTCCAGCCATCACCTCGCCCCCAGCACCTGTCACCACTGAGATCAACGTTGTCACTAACACAGAAACATCTGCCATCTGAAGCCCTTATCACTGCCACCGTCCCCACCCTGCAAGGCAGGAGAGGACGGAGGGGCTGAGGTCCAGACAAGATGGCCACCAAGCCCTACAGCAATCCCGGTGCTCACCCACCTGCCTCTTCCCTCTCATTGACCTCGAAGCACGTCCAGTAGTCCTTCTCCCTGATGCCCACATTCCGGCGATCCAGGATCTCCAGGGTGAGCTCCTCCGCTGTCATAGACGCTGGAATCTGCAGTGAAGAAGGAGGATCAGCCTGCCCTGGCCTGGCCCCAGCTCTGCTGTGATTCAGGGCCCAAGCCCACCCCTCAGCAGCCTCTGGGACCCTGGGGTGCAGAGGTGTCTCTGAGTGGTCCCGATGAGCAGGGTGAGGAACAAGAAAAAAGATGGCTCCCAGCCCCAGTCAGGTAGCCAGAACTATCCTTGGGATCAGAGCTTCTCCCTGGCCATCTGGGCCTATGCTGGCCTGACATGATTTCCCCAGCCCCTGGGCTTCTAGGCCCCAGGCCTGACCTTGACGTGCTGCTCGGCCTCTGCCTTTTTCTCCTCCAGGTACACCGTGCAGATGAAGTCACCAGCATGCTACAGGGAGACGGGGCTCAGCAGGGGCCTTGGGAGTGGGTGCAGGGGGCCAGCCCAAGCCCCCACCCGGGCCCAGCCTTCACCTGAGCCGCACTGGCTGTGCCCGCCACTCGCATCTTCACAATGGCAGTGACCTCCTCCCGCTGCTTCCTCAGCTCCTCCTCATCTACCTGGGAAGGACACAGGACAGGGATAGACGGTCACTGTCATCTAGAAAGCTTAGCTCTGACAGCCACTGCCCATGGGTGGGGACGCACACTGAACACCACCACGTAGTGGCTAATGAGGGCTTCCACCACGCGGCCGGCCTTGTAGTCCTGCCCAT